GAGGCAGACCGGCAAGCCTGCATCGATTGGGTGCGGAAGGAAAAGCCCTACTTCCTGGTCATCGCCTTCCCCTGTGGACCGTTCAGTCCCTTGCAACGGCTGAACCAGAGTGGAATGTCGCCTGAAGTCCTTGAGCGAGGACGGACGTTGATGGCATTTGCTTTGGAGTTGGCTGGTGAGCAAGCTCGTGGAGGCCGACACTATGTCCTGGAGAACCCCGTGCCCAGTGGAGCATGGAAAGAGCCTTTGATGGAAGACTTCATTGACCGCTTTGACCCCTACCAGGTTGACTTTGACCAGTGCCAGCTTGGACTGAAGTCTCTACAGGGGAACTATCACAAGAAGCCGACTCGCTTAGCTTCCTCGAGCTCTACGGTGACTTCCCTCATGGATGGACGAAAGTGCACGCGCTCTCACGTCCACGACCCTGTGATTGGTGGCTCCAAGGTGACCGTTAGAGCCGGCCCTACCCTGCTGCGATGGCTCGCTTGCTTGTTCGTGGCATGGAGGACCCATTCAACCTCGACGCCCAGAAGCTCACCAAGAAAGGCTCAGAAGTCTTGGCAGTTGGTGCCTTGGAGGATGATGAAATCGACGGTGGAGAGCATTTTGCCCCGCCGACCTTGGACAGTGACTCGGAGCTCGATGAGCATGAGACAAAGGAGAATGCAGAGAAGATTCCAGCTTCCATCAAAGCAGCAGTGGCCAGACTGCATGCCAATACAGGCCACCGCAGTACAAGAAGGCTAGCCAGAGCCTTGACCATCGCTGGAGCCCCAGCCATGGTGATTCGCGCCAAGAAACCACAGCGACCTGCCTCACTTCCACACCCTCGTGATGTCAGCGATCAGGTTCACATGGACATCCTTGAGGCCTACGACGTTGATGGCGAGAAGTACTACATCATCCATGCCATCGATTTCTGCACCAGGTTCCAGATGTCTCAAGTGCTGGAACGAAAGAGCGCAGAGGATGTCATCGCCTTCGTCAAGACTCGCTGGACGCCGATCTTTGGTCCGATGAGAGTCCTGGTTTGTGATCAAGGACGAGAGTTCATTTCTCATCAGTTCCAAGACTATTGCAGTCAGAACTCAGTGCTCTTGTGGCACATTGGAGTCGGTGCACCATGGCAAAACGGCATCGCAGAGCGAAGTGGTGGCACGCTAAAGGCCATTCTGAGTTCGATCGTGGCAGCAAACTCCGTTCAAGGACGACAAGAGATGGAATTGGCTCTTGGAGAAGCTACCTCCGCCTACAACAACGACATCAATGACTCAGGTTGCAGTCCACCTCAAGCTGCACTAGGCAAACAGCCCAGAACTCCAGGCGATGTGTTGACCGACATTCAAAGCCGCCTCGCTGAACATGACCTGGTGAACTATGATGCTGGCTATGCACGCCAGATGGCACTTCGAGAGACAGAAAAAGTCTCGATGACCCGACTGCACTTCAGCCATGGTTTGCGAAAAGCTGAACTCGCCCGCAGTCGAGAGACCACCATCACAGAAGCTCCAGCTCCTGGCTCGATCGTCTACTTCTTTCGCTTCCAGAAGTACAACAGTCGCAACACTGGACGACGCCACCGCCTGTCACTCAGACGTTGGCATGGGCCTGGACTTCGCGTTGCAGTTGAGCCTGGATCCAATGGAGATGGACCCAATGGGTATGTTTCTTTCAAGGGTCAGCTCACCAAGCGCAGCGTGGAGCATGTGAGATTGGCAAGCCCCATGGAGCAGATCGCCACTGACACCTGGCGTGATGCGATTGAAGAGGCAGTTGAGACCGCCCTGCGTGACATGACTCGCAGCGGCGTTCCTACAACGAAACCGGTGACTTCAAGCAGAACGTCGAGCTCTACAGGAACTTCGTTGGCTCCTTCACTGGCCCCATCTGAGGCCGGAGATCGCCCGACGGTTGCTGATTTGCCACCGGTGGAACCTCAAGAAGTGGTTGGTGCTATGCAAGCTGGCTTGGAACCACAGTTGCCTTCAGTGGTTGGGAACAGCGCACGACAAACCACACCGTTTACACGGCAGAACACACCTGTTCCACAAACAGTGGAGTCACCACCAGTTGCACCACCAGCACCTTCTCGTACAGTGAATCCTCAGTCACCTTTTCCTTATCTAGAACAACAGCTGGTGAGAGCACGACGGCTACAGCCGTTGCCAACAACAACTGAGGAGCACACAACAAGCAGCAGCAGCGGAAAGCGTGGTCCAGACATTGAGGCCGAGCCACAGAGCCTGCACCGTCTGAGTTGCACGACACTCTAGTTGTCAGCAAGCAAGAGATTCTCACAGTCCTCAACAAGCCTGATGAGGTGCACCCGCTTGTGAAGATCTACAGCGAAGCTTGCATGGATCGTGCCAACCCGTTGGATGCGCAAGTGCGTGATCATGTCACTTGGCGTGGCAACTGGGACATGCCGTCTCAGACTGAATGGAAAGCCCGTTGCAAGTTGGGCTTGACCTGGCCTTGTGGTGCTGATGACCTCAACGAGGCCAATGCTGCGCAGACCGCTCGCTCGCAAAGAGTACCACTGGTCGTCCATGAACCCCAAGCAGAAGGAGGGCTATCGCAAAGCCGCTGAAGCTGGATGGGCTGTTTGGGCAAACAATGACGCAGTGGAGGTTCTGTCAGAAGCTGAGTCCGTGAAGATTCGCAAAGAGCTCAAGCAGCGTGGAGAAGATAGCAAATCCTCACACCTCGCTGGGTCTTCACTGACAAGCATGATGGGCCTCGCACTTCCAGCAACAACCTGGAGGAGAAACCGAATGCACGTTTGGTTGTGCCTGGCTTCAAGGACGTCTTTGCCTTTTCCATTCGCAAGGACGCACCCACAGCGAGCAGGACAAGCCAACATGTGGTCCTGACCTTCACCGCTTGCAACTTCAAGAAAGGCTGGCGTCTTCTCTCAGTGGACATCAAGTCTGCCTTCGTGAAGGGTGACCCCTACATGTCAGGAACTCGTGAGCTCTTCATCCAGAACATTCGAGTTCGAGGAGATGAACCTGGCCTTCCGTTGAGCGCCAATGGACTGGCGCGTGTGAAAAAGGGAGGTTTTGTTTTGGCTGATGCCCCAAGACAGTGGTATCTTCGCCTCAACCGTGCCCTCACAGAACGTGGCTGGGAAAGGAGCAACACTGATGCCGCCCGCTGGTTTCTCTGGAGCAAGGATCGCAGCTCGTTGCTTGGAGCGGTGCTGTCGCACGTCGACGATCTTCTTTGTGGAGGAGGAGAAGAAGCCCGCAATAGCATTTTGAGCTTGGAGGCTGAACTTGGTTTGGAAGCATCGAGCACAACTCCTTCAACTACTGTGGAAAGCACATTTCACAGGATTTGGAGACTTGCGTTGTCACCGTCAGCATGGAGGAGTACCACTCCAACCTGAAGACAGCCCCATACCAGTTCACCGCAAGAGTGATCCTGCAGCTGCCTTGACACCTCGAAGCTACTGGGCTCTCTTCAGTGGCTTGTGGCACAGGGCCGTGTGGACCATGGCTTTGGACTCTCCGTCTTGCAAGGTGAACAGCCCAACGTCGGCACGCTGATGAAGGCCAATGCACTGGCCAAGCGAATGAAGTCCTACGGCAATTTCAGCCTGAAGTTCCGGCCTATGGAGCTTGAAGGTTGTGGAGTGATGGTTGTCACAGACTCCAGCCTGGGCAATGTCACCAAGAGCGGGCGGAGGCGATGGTTCGATGAAGGAGAACACCTACTCCCAGTCGTCGTTCTTTGTCATCCTGGCCGACAAGAACCTCATGAACGGCAAGGAGGGGGCATTCTGCCTCATTGACACTCGAAGCCACAGGCTTCCCAAGGTGTGCCGCAGCACCTTTGGAGCTGAGCTGCTTGGGGGCGAGGAGGCCTTTGATGTTGGACAGTATGTCCGTGGCGCGATGGCCGACTTCTTCGGCTACCCCATGGAGACCAGGCATGTGGATGCCATCCTCGACATGATCCCGCTGACCGTCGTGACCGACGCGAAGGACACCTTCGACAAGTGTTCAAGTGACACTCCTTCCTTCGGGTCGCAAAAGTCGCTGGCATTCACCACGACCTGGATCAGGTCGATCCTGAGGAGGCCAAACACATCTCTGAGGTGGAGCGCCACAGAGAACATGTTTGTTGATGCTGGCACCAAGGATATGGACTTGAGCCACTTGCAGTCCATCCTGACCAAAGGGCGCTGGAACGCCTGCTACAGTGCGAGCTTCATCAAGAAGTCCAACAAGGGTGGCAAGAAGCTTGGAAGCTTGAGCGCTGACGCTGTGCTGCCGGGTGAGCCTTTGACCGAGTCTCACAGTGTTTTTCCATACCTGCACCGCCTTAGCGAGGCCACAGGATGGCACTTTGAGGGTAGCGCAGCGATCCAGACCGCTAGGAATGCTAGGTCCTTTCGGTCGCCCGTTCCTCGTCTGAACCCAAAGGAATACCCAATTCGAAGCTCATTTGGGAGGTTTGACCACCAGTCTGGTTACTCCGAGTGGAGATTGTTGGAGGAACAGGTACCGTTCCAGGAGTTGGCAAATCCGCAGTCCCCGATTGGACAGCCGGCCGCGGTGCTTGTGACAGTGTTTCAACCCAAGCCTCTACCTATGAGCTGAGAAAGCAAGCTCTTGGCAGGGCATGACTTTTGAGCGTCTTGCACCCGCGGCCATTTGCACAGATCTTGACCCATTTGTTTACGACCTTTCGTGGTCCGGCAAAAGCCCTCGCGTTCGGCCGGTCGTGTGCGCCATCGACCGTTCACAGAAGATCATGTCTGGCCTAAGTTTATAAGCGTTTGCTGTCGAGGTGTAGACTTGACCCCTGTTCAATAGAAACGAAGACTCGGCTCTTACAAGAGCTCATGGGAGGTGAAATTGTTTGTATCAGGAAGACATTAAGTGTGGCATCATCCAGCACCTCAGGGATAGTTTCCATGCTGCTTGATAGTTTGAGCTGGACTGTAGCCTATTGAACAGCAGCGTATATATTACTTCGTGGCAGATCAGGCACTTCCTGTGAAACGGGCACCCAGTGTACAACGTCGTGAGGTGGGGCTGAGTTCGGGCTTTCAGGGATGAAAAAGGTTTTCTTACATTTTAATAGCACCACCAAGAGGCCTAAAAGGTCTGGAAAAGGATGAAAGGGTACATGCACGTACATGCTGAATCAGAAAGAGTAATCGGTTCTCCTCATCTTCATCAATTGTTTTCAGTTTTACTCATGTGACTGGCACATGTTCAATCTTGCCGGTCAGGCAGCTTCGATAAAGCACATCTCCACCGCACCCAATTTGCGGCTTTGGGCCGCTGCTTCTCCGCCCATTGGCCGCAAGGAGGATCGGCAGGAAATCACAAGCTGATTGCTTACAGCTCAGGTCAGACACGGAGGATGGCAGCAGTCCTGCTGGAAGCTCAGATGGACCAGGTGTGTTGGTCCGCATCAGAAGGATTACCTGGAAAAACCCAGACATGATGCAATTGCAATGATGGTCAAAGCCTCGCCAGGTGGCCTTGGGTACACCAGTGCTGGTTCCAACTGCCTCCAATTTGCTGGGTTTTGACTGGGATGCTTTGGACACTTGGACATTGCATCGAGTGTGACGTGACATTGCATCCGATTGCATCAAGTGTTGTGCCTCTTTTTTGGACGATGCTCGTTAGCCAGGTCCAGCAGTCCTGCTTTGCAGACACAATTCCACGCCTGTGCTTTTGGGTCCCAAGCCTCGTCAGGCTTTCCATTGAGACAAACACAACCAGTTAGATGGAAACTGAGTGGGTGTTCATCCTATATACATGTTCTTGGAGTGGAGCATGCCGGTGAACGTAGGATGGCAAAATTGAGAGTTGCCACGTCCAAGCCGTGGCCACATATACAATGTGATGTGATGTTTGCACATAGACACATGGGGAAACACAACATAGCCTAAACGTCAGGCCATCCGAAAGCTGTGAACGTATTTGCATGTGAATGTGCAGATGGATTACAGACGCTAGATGACATTTGCACATATGTATATACATACATAAGCGTTGCAGATGCAACCATGTACAAAGGCTGATTGACAAACGACCCAGTTTGCCTGATAGGCAAACCGTTTGTTCCTCAGTCTTCTCACTTCTAGATGTTTGAAATGCTATTTATCGTTGGGCAGCGGACTGACGCTAAGGATGAAGATGAGGATGAGAAGCAGGAGGAACGACCAATTTCCAGACAGGTCAGCATGAAGATGGCAAAGTGCCTTGGCCGTTTCATGTTTGGTGTAGTCTTGCAAGAGCAATCAGAATAGCTGCAGCAGATGTGGAACTCATTTTTCATCATTTTTCCGACTTCTCATTGCCTGCCGTATCAGGACATTGCCATTGCCTTTTCTGAGCATTTCATGGTTGTAAGTATGGTCTGTAGATTCCTATGTGGCAGAATTTGAGTTGCAAGGACACACAGCAGCAGCAACAACAACAGGTTGTTGGATTGTTCATGTTGCACTTCTACATGGTGTTGCTTCTCAAATCCCACCGTAATTCTGACTTGTCTTTGATCAGGTTGGTCTATCATGAAGGGAGTGGAGTGAAGGGAATGGAGTGTGATACATTCTTGGAACTTGTTCGATGAGTTGGAATGAAGATTAGGTCGAGTGGTAGCTTGGCAATGGTGCCAGAAGAGGGTCCTCAGTTGAAGGCAAGTCCCGGGACAGGCTCATCACACCGAAGATGATAAGACGTAATATGTAATTCTGGTGTTCTACCGGATCAGTGCTTCATCATGCACTTCAAATCTTAGCACTCTAAACGACCCAAAGAATCGTCGCCAGCAGGTAGCCTTGCCTTTGGTGCCGTGTTCCACTCCACTGCAACCTGTAAGTGCCCCTAGCTCACCCACATGGCGAGGTGCGACCTGCTATGAATTTTGCTTGCTGATTCTTCTGTGTTACATATTGTCAGTCATACTTCCTTTGTTAAGTTTCTTGGTTTAGTCATACGTCATTAGCTGTCTGTCCAGAACCGTGTGACGACCATACGCATACCGAAGGCATGCGCATTGCCATTGTGGTGAACGGCTCCCGTGGCGACGTGCAGCCAATGGTGGCGCTGGCCCAAAAGCTTCAGGAACATGGTCATGAGGCCAAGCCACTAGGAGCGATCGGACGCTACTAGGGGCTCCTGGCCTTACTACTCGGAACAAGGGCATCGCTTGACTCATACGCGCTGGCAGCACTCGTCAATTTTGTGGCTCAGTGCTTGGCACAACTTGGGCATGCTCAGTGAGTGCTTTGCTTCCTGACCACAGTGTCAGGTTATCATATTTACCAATGCAGACTCCATTAGCTTCTGCAACACGTTTGGTATCGATGCTGTCTCTGTTTTTGCTGCGCCTTGGCTTGTTCTGCTGGTGTCTTTATTCTTGAATACAATGTTGTTTGTTTGTCCTCCTTTACCTCTTCAGTTGATCCTCGACCCTGCCCTCACAAGCAGCTTTATTGTTGGTTGCAAGCCACGTACTGAACTTTGCTTGGCGACCCCTTATTGGTCATACAGTCATACATCTTTAGAACAAAAGAGAACAAAAGCCTTTCAAAGCATTGGTGGCCCCGTGTGAATTGGCTAAAAGCCTAAAATTCTGGCACGTCACCCTGGACTTGAGCAACCTGCATGAGCCGCAGCATAATGCACTTCCAAGGATTGCAGCGCTGTGATCCAACAGAGCGGCGGCATGATTCTTGGCTCTTTGACTCTTTGACACTGGTGTCCATGCATCAAGAGACATGGTAGTCTCCAAGAAAGGCGGATGCCTGGAAACATACGTGGCCGCATTGAGTTTCCACTATTGGAAACGGGTAACTAGATGAGGGGTATTCCAGAACGTACTCAGGTTCTGTTCAGTCGCTACACTCAGTGTTGTACTGCCTGTTTTGCAGAATCCAACGCCAGCCAGCCCTGGACGATGCCTAGTGTACCTAGTGCATCGACTAAATCTACATGCACAGGTGCATTCATTCAGAAGTAGCTGGCTATGCACGTTTTATGGTTAGTGGTACCCTCTCTAGGTCGTCAAAGAGCCAGGACTATCCCTCGTCGAAACTGAAACCTGCATGCCTTATCCACCAAGAATCCAACTCAACACCAATACTATCAAGTTCCCCTCCTCAACTCTCTCGTACCGACATGTTTGGGCCAATTCCTTGGGACACCCAGTACTAGAGTTTGATGCCAAATTTGTGGGATGCGGACTAACACTAACGGTGCATGTCCATTGATATCCGATCAATTGCGCGCAACAGTCAACTGTAAGCCAAGAACCTGGAGGGCAACCTCAGGAGGTGCAGAAGGTATGTTTTGCATTGTTTTGCGTTTGATATCACACTACATCCTTTGCTCGTGTATGCGCAGCAAGTTCCAAAACTGTTTGGTTGCTCTTGAGGAGTGGAGACTTCGTCTCCGGTGTTTCACGTGCCAATTCAACGGCGTCCAAATGGCTGCGTTCCAATCCCGGGGCATGTGCACCAGTGGCGGAGTGTTTGCAGGTGCAGTTTGGCTTGTTGATGGAGTGCTGCATTACTGTGAAGTAGAAGTTCATTGAAAAAAATACTATCCTTGATGTTCGGCACATTAATGGCATGTTGTCCTTGAAGTTGCTTGGAAGGAAGGGCACATTCCAAGTTAACTCACCACTATATCCTATGCTTTGGCTACCCAATTAAAGTTTGTATACAGGTGTGTGTGTGTGTGTCAACTCCTGTCTCTAAGGAATTCGACCACATTAAGGAACGTAACTGCCTTTCATTCGATTCAGATTTCTCCGTACACCTGTACAGCGCAGGGGGATGCCCCACACCTGAAGAGAGGGCATCTAACAAAGAGGCTCTGCAGGATGTGCTGATATCAGCAAGGACGCTTGCTGACGTACCTGCATCAATTTTAAAATTCCGGCTGTGTTGTTCACAAGCTGTCACCCCAATCCTTCTTGTAAAGTGCTACTGCCTTTGCTCAAACAAAACAATTTTGCCGACCCAGCACTCCTTCGGTTTTGCAAGTCAAGGTCTAGCTTCAACGTAAAGTGCTAATCTGACTGGGATGTCATAACTGATACAGCTCTTGCGAGCCATGATCTAAGTGTGTGTGTTTGCACCTTGGAATAACGGGTAGTCACTTGACTTTAGCACAGCAGGGGGCTGCAAGGAATGTCATAGTTCTGCAGCCAACGAAGACGACCATGACATCCTGTGATATTGTTGGAGAGGTCCAGTGACGTACCTGGTGTGTGATAGCCTGACACTGCCTTCTGGGCCTCCGTTTGTATCTAGAATCTAGAACAAGTCGTTGCACCACTTTACAGTGAAGGGTGTGTGTTTTTTTGCACTCGTGAACGAGCCGTCGATCGTTTGGAACGTGTTTGCAATAATACAGTCGGATGTCTCTACGTATGTTCATAGTTGATTCTGTTGACATTAATTTTGTTTACTAAGAGTTTGGGGCATTCAGACCGTACGTGTGATATATCTCAAGTGTGTAAGGGTGTATATCCTTATGTTTGCGCCAGGAGTTTCAGCCTCAGCTCCTTGTATGTGGCACGCTGGCTGTTGGGAGCTGCATCCGATACGAAGCACAGACATGTGTTCCTGTGGTTTATGCCTCTTGGTTGAATGATGTTGAAGGCGTTCCTGCCCCTGCAAGATACTCTTCGACAGTAGATCAAAATGTGGGCCTTCAATCCCAGAGATAATGATAGCTGATCGGTCCAAACACCGGCAAGATCGCCTCGGAGCTTGTCAGTAGCAGTCCACATGCTCCCAGCGCACTCTTTGCTGGTCCCCTTACAATTTACCAAGATGCGCGAACCAAAATTCAAACGCAACATGATTCTTAAACGTTCAAACTGGAAGTCGCATGGATCGTTGTAGCTGCGTTGCGTAGAAAAGGGCCATGGGCGACAGATGGTTCGAGCAGCAGACGCCTCATAATTTGAAGTTTTGGGATACAGTTTCCACTAGTACTGTGGATTCCTCATCAGTAAAGTCAAGAGAAGTGCAAAACAACTGAGAGGTGTTCATGTCGAAACGAGAGATGTTGACCAAGGTGGCACAGTTGTCCACAGCAGCCGCAAGGTCAAAGAGGAAATTGATAAGAGCCCATTTGACATACATACCAAATGATAAAAAAGTTAACAATATGATCAAATGTCCTTTTGCCCTCTCGACCAACCATGAAAACGAGGGTGTGTGGCTCTTAAATTTGGTAAGTTGGAGTAAGCCTAGTGTGAAGACTCGTTTGTATATAGTGTGGTCAAAAGCGACCCACGAGTGAAACATAGTGAAGCAGTTTTCTGATTTGCCAAGTTGCATCAAGGTGTTTCTTTGCCGAGAACTGATGAATTTCTTCAGCGACGTTCTGCAGCTCGCCTTTTGAAGGAGAAGGTGGTGGTCGCGTGTCATCATCAAAGCTCTCTTGGTCGAATCAATGGACTAAACTAAGCCGTATTGTGAACAGTCTTATCTCTTGGCCATAAGTGTGCAATGTAAGTCTAAACTGTGACAGACGGATGTGCTAGGATATGCATCAACGGATTCGTCTTATTTGTCCTTTGTGCTTGCTCCTCTGAAGGTATTTGCAGCCTGAGCGGCCATGTTTCCTTGCAACGAATCCATTGCTCGACAGCGAGTCCTTGCCCGCTAACCTCAGGTCTTTGTGGGGTCAGGGCTGATCGGAAAGGGACATGCTATATTGTGCTGCTCATTAGTGTGCGATTCTTTCACTAGCTACACGGGCAGGTGGCAAGTAGGTTGCTAGATTAGCCAGGATTTGTTCCTGTTCTTGCTCGCTCCTCTCCGTTATCCCATGTGACAATGCAATCAGATTGCACCTTTTGGGTTGACGTGAAAAAGCGTTGCCACGTCCGTCTACGTTACGATCGTTGTCGTTCAGGCAGACGGGAACATGGGATCTTCCTGACTGGGCAGAAGTCCCTAGCAAATTGCAGGACGAACCCGCCGGAGTTGGCAGATGGGTCAAGGCAAAGGTATCAAGACGGCTGCAGAGTTTTTAAGACTTTGTTGTCTTTGGTATTCGTGATGTTTCTAACGCCCACGTTGCCCTCACTCTTAGTAAAATTGCTTACTTAAATATATAAGTAAGGCTCGTAGCGATTAAGTAGGACGCTGCTAGCCACGGGAGGCATGATAGCTCACGCTATTCGTTTGGTTCCTAGATTCATTTCTAAAAGGAACAATCCACCGAATCCACCTAGCCATACCCAATTCTGTTTTCTGTAATGCTATGTGTTCCTTCACACTATATAGATTGCAGAACATAGACACAATCAAGCAATCAAAAATGGACAAAAGAAACTGAAAAGAAAACTCCACCAATCCAGAAAAATCCTGGTATACTCGAGCATGTCGCAAGTGAGGAGTTCTTGGTGGAGAAGGGTGATGGTGCTATTGCAATGGGCTGGGGATCAATGATTGCCTTTGGGCTTTCACCTGAGAAGATGCTTGCTTTGGTTTCTCGCCTTTGATGCCGTTCACAGAATCGTATCTCCGTATCTCCACGTGACACAAGCCTTACAAATGCACTGTTTACATCATCTCCGGTCCTTTCATCGGGGTGCCCAGCGGTCGAAGGACTGATTGATTGGGAAGGGTTGAGAGTAGACTTGACATTGAGAATGCCTGCATGGTAGTTTTGGTCCCATCTCTGCGCAAACTACCATGATACGTTTTGATGCAGGGCCCCATGGCCGAGGCACTGCGGGTTTTGAAGTCTTTGAACATGCATGGCGTCATCTTGGGCGGTTGGGCCAAGTTGGATGAGGTGGCAGACCTCCTGTCGAAAGGCATCCTGGCCAGTTAAAAGTAGTCACCAGGGAGTCCGGAGGGATTCGATGAAGAGCCACCTCAGTTGTGGCTTGCTTGGCAAGGAAAGCTATGCAGAATTGGTGAGGATTGGCAAGAACTTGCTGCTTAGCCAAGTTATGTGGTTCCAACATACCTTGCAAGCAAGTGTTTGAATAGGACAGCCCCCTTGCTGGACACTTGATATTTGAGTGAGCTTGTAGAACGTTTTTGTCCATGAATAGCTTAGCATGTATCTCTGTGGCTGACCCTTGAGAGCCAAATTGAGGCTGAGTTTGCAGCCCACAATGTGTGCTTTGTTGCGGAGGCACTATACCGTACCTGCTTGTCAAGATGTCGAGCATTCTGTGTTTAATCGAGACTACCTTTGCCCAGCTGACTGACTGTGCATCAGCTTTCTGAGTTCTCCTTAAACAAGTAGCAACGTGGCTCATCCAAGTCCAGGTTCATCGGACTTTTGCTGTCTTATATTCAGCATCCCTTAGGCGGTTCCACTCCAGGCTCATCCACCTCTCAGTCAGCCTCACAACGCTCATTTGTGTCCGTCATTCTTATGAGTTTCAGATAGTTTCACTACTGTTCGCGTAGCTTTGGATGATTTCATGCCGCGACAACTTTGATTTTGACAGTTGTTCAGTTCTGCTTGTTTTTGTGATCTATCTGTGTTTTTAATTTGCCTCTTTCACCCGCCGTCAGCCAGCAAACCACCCTGACGCATTTTGATGGGTTGAAACATGTTGACTTCCACCACTTGCAGATGTCAGCTTGAAAGGGGAGATGATGTGGTGACAATGCCTTTGGGCCAAGCTGGCAGCTAGTGCACGCTTCATGCAAGCGAGCACCCAAACTCTAGAAGTTGGAGTGTGGATATGTTTGAATTTCACATCATGCTCGAAAAAATATTCTGGAAAAAACTCGGTTGTGCTTCTCACTGACATGCCACAACTCGCCACAAAAGTCAGATAGCCGCAATTGTTGTTGCAACAGTAGGTTCTGCATTGTTCTGCATCGGCTGCAGGCACCTCACACCTGGCTATTCCCCCGTTGCTCTTGTGTAGTGCATCACGGGGGATTGGGCACTACACAAGCCGCCCTTCGTGCTGGAGTGCCTGGAGCGCCTCGCCCAGCAAGTACAACAATTGGCTGCTTTGGTTTCAAGCTCTGAATTTGTCTCACGAAATTCCATCAAGGCATACTAGATATACTAGTGTGTTTGTCAAGGTGTCGGCGCATCTAGGAATTCTCAGAGCTTCCCTGACTTGTTTTCGGGTGTGCATTGAATAGCAGGTCTTATGTTACGAGGATGCCAAATACCTCAACAGCTGTATATACAAGGCCAATAAAATTATTTGGCACACATCACATCATCACCACATCACTGTGCAAATGGATGATCTTCGCCAAAGGTCATCACACCAATTTTTGGCGATCAATTTCATAATGTGCCTTGGAGTTGCGCTTGAAGTGTGGTGCAAGACAACAAGCATGTTTCATATGTGTTGCATTGCTTCAAGAGGATTCAGGAGTGTTTGACCCCTGGCATTTTTAGGACCAAGATTGGACATACCTTGCAAGTACTTGCTACCCTCAAAGTCTTTCGCTTCCCCTTGCAATACCGCTCTATGTTTTTTGTGTTTCTTCCTTTAGAGTGTTTTCCTATTTCCTGTGTGTTTTGTCTTTAGACCTTTCTTCCTTCCTTCTTCCTTTGCACTTTGTTGCTTTCATGTTTCTTCTGACAATCATGTTTGTTTAACTCTTTTTCCGAGCTCCTGTCGAGGCATCTCATGTGAATCGTTTGGGAGTTGGCGTTGGTTTAGAGCAGCCTTTGCCGCAGCTCAGTGCTGCTTGCTCAAATTTGTCGAAGGTTTGGATGGATTGTTGTGGGATAAGTTCAGACTGTTAAATATGTAAGGATTCAGCACTTGCAGAGGACACCTTCTTTGAAGCCAAATGTTGCACAAATCGGTGGGCGATGTCAAGCACTTCCTATTCTTGCCCAGCAAGACTTTCTTGATGCCACCGAGGTCGCCCAAATTGCAGATGCAGTTCGCTCGGCTTGGAGTATGGCCAAGGCGGTCAGAGTACGTTGAAGAAGTGAGCAAGGGAGGTATCACGATTTCCGGTCTGAAAGATCCAAGTTTTGTTCCTAGTAGCTTCTTGTTCCTAGTAGTAACGCCACAGGAGCCCTTAGTAGCGTCCTTGCTCCCAGTAGCGATGCCAGGAGCCCCTAGTAGCTTCTTGCTCCTAGTAGCTTCGACATTCATAATTAGATGGTCGCCATTCTCCGAAATTGAGCATACTGTTTGACACGACTTGTGTGATCTCGTGTGGGATGGCGTGTCCGGCAAAGATGTGCGGAAGGTTTCTCGATCTGACTATTTGTATTAGCTTTCGAGCAATCTTAATCCTGGTGCGAAGATAGCAAGGGACCAAAACAGCAATCATTGCAGCCGATCCCAGGTCCTCCCCGAATGTGCCTATTCAAATACAGTGAGTGGGCGTTTTGGAAAGGCACTCAGAATCTCTTATTCCGTGGTCTGAACACATGACTAGCGGGATAAAGGGGACCACCATGGCTTTGTGCCCTTGGTAAGAGTAGAATCAGCAAGAGTGTTGACCGTGTCATGTGTTGGGGGCCCAAGGAACTAAGGTGACTGTGACTGCAACGGGGATGACTTCGAGTGAAATTCTGGTTCTTCCTCATCGCAACACAATGTAAGCCGACTATGCAAGGTAAATTAAAGAAACAAAGCAGGGTTGCTGGGCCATCCAGATTCCACAGCTTGTCAGAAGAGCATTGTCAAGGTCGTTCTTATTTGTCATTGGATATATAATGATATATATAGATGTAGTATCATGATTATACACGTATATAAATCCATGTGTATATATATATATACAGTATATACATGTGTGTATTATACAGATTGGTTTCATTCACTTCTCGAATCTGGGACCTCTCGAAGAGCCATCCATGGTACAAGCCAGACAGCTGCGGAGTTTGGCGAAACACAAATCAGTTCTGGCCTTCTGGAAGCAACCTCTGCATCTCGGTGAAATCCGAATCAAAGCCAAGTGGATCCGTTGGAAGTAGACTACAAACCAGCTTGCGAGAACACAGAAGCAAACTTCGAGAGAGCAACACACGAAAGCATGCGAAGACCTTGTTGAGGGGGTTCTGTTTGAAGCAAATTGTCCACTCTTTGATTTGAGTCGCTGAGCCCGTCAAAGCCTGGTATGCTTGCAGGATACATACTCATAGAGCATAGCAATTCATGGAAAGATCAATGTGATTTCTTGCCTTGCCAAATGCCTAGGCAATACAGGAGTTCATGCTGCTGCACTTGAGGAGTGGACTCTGGGATATGCGAGTACGTGAGCTGGAATCCTCCGCAAAGCTGTGACATAGCGAAGCAGCTTGTTGGCTTGTCGGCTTATTCCGGAAGCTTTGAGGTTTTGTTGCCACTATAGCTAGATGCTTGCGCATGCTTGTGCAAACGAGGCACGTAATCAGAGCAGTGCCAATGTTCATGGTTAACACTCAAAGTGTTCAACACTCTCAAATGAATTTGATCCAAGTGGGCTCCAACTTGACCGGACTGAGTCTCAAGCAAATGTGTACAAAGTGCCCTTGGAGGATCGCAAGTCTGAACTGTCCCAACACGGGACAGCTGATTTGTACACTGGTTGCAGAGTATGGTGATGTGATGCGTCATGAGACTACGTTTTAAAATCGGGGTTTAGTTGCTTAGATTGTTGAGTGCAGAGTTCACTGGACAGGAACAGCCACGTAATCACATCCAGACAATGCTCAGAAATGGGGAAGGCTGGTCTAGAAGCTATGGCTGAGGTGATGCTTTGGGCGGAACGTTTGTATGGCGTCCGCACAAATGACAACCTGCGAGGGCCCTGGATGTAAAGACGAGTCCAGGTTTCAAGGAGAGGTTCCACACAGAGCTAAAGAAGCGGTTCAGCCCGAGCCTGCTTCAAACATTGTTTCAATATGTTTCAATAAGTTTGACTGATTCTGCTCCTTCAGCTTCGAGGCCATCCACGTGCAGCGACATGGGCTGTGGCATTCGAGGCGTGAATGGCAGGTGCGGGTCGCTGAGGTTTTTGCCTAGGTCCTAATAAAAGTGTGCGATTTAAGATATAATTTTTCCTGTTCTAAGTTTTATGTTCGAAGCCTGGCAAGTTACGCTTTCACCTAGCAAGTCAGGTGCTCTTGTCACCGCGACTGTCGCGGGAACTATTCCAATTGCTGCGGCGATTTTAGTCTCCTGGCATCGCAATGACAAGGAGTCAGTGGCGGGGCTTCAAATCGGTATCTGGAGATGTATGGATATTTCATTGTATCATAAACATCAAATGTAATGAGGTCAAATTTGTCACAAATAATGGATCGAAAAATAAAATGATTTTGTCTAAATAGAATATTTAATGAAGGAATATATATATATTTATTATATAAAATTGTAATTCTTCGATTTATTATATATATATATTACTATGAATTCGATATTTACGATAAATATTTGTTTTTTATTACGATAATTATGATAAATTTATAAGCGCTATCTTAGTTTAAGAGTAGCGCGTGATTTGGAATTTGTGGGGCGGTGTTATGTTTCGATCGATTTTGTATTGAATTTTCGTCTTGATTAGTTATTTTTATGTTGTTATTTTGATGTTCGATTGTGTTATTATTTGTTTATTTGAGTAGTCCGGTCTTAAGTTTGGAGAATTTAGGATTTAGTTTTAGAAATCCGAGGATTCGGCGCGAGGGTTATTTATTTGGATTTTGGGATGGATGGGAGGAGTCGTGAATATATATTATTTGAAATTTCTTGGGTATAGTATATTTTATATATAAGTATAATCCATGAATAATTTATAATTTTTTTGATTTAAGTGGTAAAAGGTGCGCCTTTTGCTTCGTCGCGGTTACGGCGTGTATTTAATTTGTGTTGATTGTTTGATTGTTGTTGGGTTGGTCTTTATTTCTAGTGGTTATTAGTCGTATCGGTTTTATTGATTGTTATTCTTTTATTTTTGGGGACATGGTATTCTTTACATTTATTTGTTTGGTGCGTGCATGGACGTTGATCTTCTTCGTTCTTATTAAAAAGAGCGAGGGATTAGGTTTGGGACCGCTGTAAAACGTAGTCGTACGGCTAGAGGTGCGTAATATGTATATAGATGGATAATTAAGGCCGCTTTATACTCCTCGTATTTGGGATAACGAAAGTTTTGGTTCTGACGAGGAAGGTGTATAGGAGGGGGGTTGGACCTGTGGTGGTTTTGCTAAAGGCCAGGCCCTTGAGTGTAATGACGGCTGAGGTGGTTAGGCTTATTTTTCGATTAGTTTGGTTTTAGGGTCGAGTAAGTGTTGAGTGGTATGAATTGTAAGGTCTTTCTAATCGTCGCGTTTTTGTTGCTATTTAACCCCCCTGGTATTTACCCTTGGTTTGATGTTATACACCTTTGATTAATTGGAAGTTTAGATATACTCGCATCACTTGTTGAAACTTTAGAGACGCTTTTAGAGCTTGTTGTGACTGTAGAGACGCCTTTAGCGTCAGTTCCGACGTTAGTGATACTATTATTATTTATCCGGATCCTATCGCTAGTGTCGATTAGACGGGTTATTTCGGCCGTACCGACGGAAGCTCCGAGATTAATAGTATCGCCTTTAAAGGTCGTGATTAGGCTAGCAGCGGTAAAGTTTTGGCAAGGAGAAGTAATAACAATGGCATTGAGCAAGGTTGCATCTCTCGTCGTGCCGTCAAAATCGACATCAGTTGTTGGTCTACCTCTAAAACCTGTTGAAGGATTATCCAAGAAGTCATTGCTAGAGTCAAAAGATACAGTGATAATTAAGTCAGCTGCAATCCGGAGTGCATCATCGGTGGAACCCAAAGCGGAAGGAAAGCGGAAGGCGTTGCTCCGACTTAGCGTGTTGTTCCATCGAAGGCTCCATCCATTTTGGTGGAGGACGACATTCCGGATTTGCCTTTTGTTCCAGTGTTGGGTACAGTTGTACACAGTTCATCTTCGTTGGTGGAGTCTTCTGAGGTGATTGAGCTGTCGTCAGGTCCGACAGAGTTTATTGAGCCTCCAAAGGCATCAATAGAGGTTTCGAACGGATTAGATCCGCCACCAAAGGTACCTCCGTTTCAGCCGTTCGATTTGATTTCAAAGTCATCCAGTTCAGGAGGAGCAGCAGTGAATCCGTCGTCGATCATTGTCATTGAGGACGAGGCCATTGAACTTGAGGAGACTGGTAGGGTCCAGATTTCCCCATTTCACGATAGCTTGAAGGTATTTATTGTCCAAGGTGGCCAGTGTCGTTCAGTTGACAAGAGCTCATTTGTTCGCATCAAGCAGCATCTCCTTGTGTGGGATTGGCATCAAGTGCTCGACACGGACAGGCATTCCCGGCATTACGCCGAAAGGCCAACGGGAGACGGGATTCCTCCGAGGCACATTAAGTCGTTGAACCATCTTCGAACTTTGGCCGGTCGAGCAGGGAACACAACAGAGTTGATCATTTGCTCGCAAATTGAGCGTTCGCAGGCCAATTTGGAGAATCTTTTGTATCTTACAGAGTTGTCCAATTTGCCCGTTCGTTACATCCTCATCACCGAGCAGCGTTGTGGTCCAGCAGGCAAGCTTGCAGCTTGTCAGGCCCTTTCGTCAGGCCTTGCATTCATCTACGACGACAATCCGGAGATCGTGAACAGTTTCTGGAATGCTGGCCAGGTAGCCTTTCAGGTAAGGAAGCCAAGGGCCGAGATTGTTGCTCCACATCAATTTTACGATTGGTCCTGTTCGTCAGCCTACGCCATTGAGAAAGGCGAGACGTTCATTCGCACCTTCTCATTGGCCGAAGATCCAAGCCAGGCCTATCGCGTGCCTAAGGCTGCTCCGGGAAGTGCATCCCGTTGAGCGTTCGTCGAACCCTAATCGGCTGCTTTAGCGCCTCAGGAGTATAAAAGTGCATTTTGCCTTGAGTTCGCGAGTCGTTCGATCGGTTGCATTGTTGTGCATTTAGGTTGTTAAGAGTGGTTACTGACCCAGAGTCATGTCAGAAGAACAGTCATCATCATTGAACGTCAGTTCAGACACTACTGTTGGTGGTTTGGCAGTTGCGGTTAGGAGCAGATCTCAATCTCATTCGTCCCAGGGTTCAGGAACTCCGCACGGTAGTCGAAGAGGATCAAAACCTCCAAGAAGATCTTTGAGTAGAGTAATCAAGAGCATGCCCAAAGGTCCTCAATCTCAAGCGGAAGGGTCTTCCATCGGTCAACCATCGGTTCCGGCTATTGCTGATCGTCAGCCGTTGCCTTCGTCAAGTGGGTTACTCCCGAGACCAGTTGGCCAGCCTAGGATCCAGAGCCCTGATGAAGATGAGGTCATGCCCAATCCATCAAGTCTGACCCAAGAGTTGCACCTCCATGATGCCCGGTCTTTTAACACGGTCCAGGTGGCATATGTTGGTATTGATCATGCAGAGTTCGGTCGTGTTGTAGCTGAGTCTCAACGACTTATCGGGGAAGCTGACTCCAGGGCCTTGCACTTCGAAGGTGTCGCCCAACAGGTCTTTCAGGAAGCCACAGCTCACATCGGTCACCTGACGTCCCTGGTTGAAGAGCTCCGTAGCCAAAATGAGGTGCTCCAATCCGGTCATGTTGAGAAAGATGTCATGATCACAAGCTTGCATGAAGCCGTCCAAGAGGTAAAGCAAACCCTTGAGAACCAGATCAAGTTCAACCAGTCCATGTTTGAGGGTCAACTTCGCAAAGCGAAGGATGAGATCGACCGTTTGTCCGACCTCAACCAAAAGTCC